GAAACTGTTGAAGATTGGACTTCTCGTTTGCCGATGATTCTTGAAAATTATGATCTACACGATGTATAAAATTGTGATGAAACAGGATTATTCTTTAAACTCTTGTCTGATCGTACATTTATTTTAAAAACATATGATTGCAAAGGCGGTAAACGTGCCAAAGATCGATATATTGTCCTTCTGTGCACAAACTGGACAGGTACTCACAAACTCAAATCATTAGTAATCGATGAGTATTTTTTCTTATTATTTATAGATTATCTTCTTTTTCATTTCAGGTAAATCTGCTAGACCGAGATGTTTCAAAGGTCTTGATATTAAAAGATTACCAGTCACATGGTGTTCTAATCGTACTTCTTGGATGAACGCTTCGGTTTTTACCAAATGACTCAACGATTTCGATGCAATGATGCAAATACGACTGTCAAAATCCAGCCATTAGACCAAGGAATAATTAGAACTTTCAAAGCATATTATAGAAAACAATTAGTGCAACATCTAATCACAAATGCAGATTCAGCTAATTCCGCTGACGATATACGTAAGTATAACTGCACTAGATGCGGTGTGGTGGATTGATGTTGCATGGAAGGCGGTAACTGAATCAACAATTCAAAATACTTTCAAAGCAGCTGGCTTTTCAACTTCTAGTTCGTCTTTCTGTACATTATCGACAACGACAACGAACAATAAAGATGCTGCATCAGGTGATACAAGCTTGATTGAACTCAACAAAATCCTACGACATGTTAATATTGGAATCGATACGATGTGTGCAGCAGATTTTGTGGTAACTTTTCGTAGAATCACTTCGTATATAATTATGATAACATTTGACACTTTGGCTTTTGAATCTCCTAGAGTATTGATGATGACACACCAGCTTTTAATGTTTGGAGTGATGGTGCTGAGAAAGTGTTAGTTTCTGATGGGCTTTCAAATGGTGCGTCGTTTACGCCTATTCACTACAGCTAATCACTCTGAACTGCATCCTTTCATTCTTCAATTTCAATCGAAACTAATCGACATTTGTCTTGATGGAAAAAATTTTAAACAAAAAACTATTCGTGAGAATTTTCAGCAGGTTTGAAGAAAACTTTCATTTCTTACTTAAATCAGTTGTATAAAGAAAGTATTTTGTGATAAACAATGATTATTCATTGAATAAAACGATAAAGTGATGACCAGTGAGCTCAGAAAATAATAAAAGAATTATGTTTAGATTTGTTTTCCTCGAACACTCTCCTTTATGATCATCCCGCCATTATGAACATTTTTCTATGAACCAGATCTATATTACACCTACACCCACATCCTCAAGACGGATTTGTGATGGATAAAAACAAAGGTCGAATGTACCTACATTTGATGTGAGTGCAGCTGAACTGTCGCCGATTCATGACAAAGTCGAAGGGAGAAAAACTTTTCATTGAATACTTCAAAATAAAATTTCAATTTGCGTATTTACTACGTTTTGTCTTGAATGCATTCATGAAATGTGTTTGAAAATAAAGTTTTGTTATTTAAGAACGAACGATGCTCTCTTTAAATTTCTTAAGGCAAAATAAGCTCTTTTAATCTTTTATAAAAGAAAATCTAGCCTTTCACGCAAAATAATCATTCACTGTGCATATGAAGTCGCCTTCTCTTTCTTCCATAAACTTCGCGCCATGGTCCGTTGAAGATTCTTTGTTTTAATTGCTAAAGGGTGTAAATCTCCGCGAAAAGTCTTTTATTTTTCAATGCTTCTTTTGAGCTAGCGATGCAGGTATAAATATAAACGTTTCTTCTCCATTTTGTCATTCATTTTCTCCTTTTGCGCTTTCGCTATTCGATGGATAAGATGAGAATAAAGCGAACTTTCAATCTTTCCTTTCTGGTTTTATTACTGTTCCATGATGTGATCAATGGATACCATTTTCGTGGCGGTATTATTTCATGGTGAGTATCTTCAGTTCACTTATATTTTCCCCACTTTCAATTGACCCTTAGGCGCCCCTTGAATGCTACGGCATTCGGTACTACTGCTGACATCCTCATACATCAACGATATTTTTGGTGGCGACAATGGGGCAGTTTCGGTGGTTATCGATGTACAGAAGCAGATGTTAATAGTGGAACCCTCATTCCAGTTAATGAAGCCATGATATGTTTAGTGAACTGCACCAGTTCGAATTATCCCGGCGGTGGCCTTTCAACTAGGATGATAACTACAGATTGTCAACAAAGTTCAAAAATTGATTCATGGGCCGGTGAAAAGTATGATACATTATCATTGCTTTTAACAACATCAATTACAATTGGTTACCAGTCCAGTGCATGGATGTCTGCTCTTTTTAAAGGCGGCATCGGAGATTGGTCTATTGTTAACCGGCTGAATTTGGGCTTAAGACCTGATGGTTATATCAACAGTAGTCCTGTCACAAATACACTACCTGTAATAATCTATCAAATAAATATACCAATCGTTCATATTGTCTAAATGGCAGACAATNGAAACTGTTGAAGATTGGACTTCTCGTTTGCCGATGATTCTTGAAAATTATGATCTACACGATGTATACAATTGTGATGAAACAGGATTATTCTTTAAACTCTTGTCTGATCGTACATTTATTTTAAAAACATATGATTGCAAAGGCGGTAAACGTGCCAAAGATCGATATATTGTCCTTCTGTGCACAAACTGGAAAGGTACTCACAGACTCAAACCATTAGTAATCGATGAGTATTTTTTTTCTTATCATTTATAGATTATCTTCTTTTTCATTTCAGGTAAATCTGCTAGACCAAGATGTTTCAAATGTCTTGATATTAAAAGATTACCAGTCACATGATGTTCTAATCGTATTTCTTGGATGAACGCTTTGGTTTTTACCAAATGACTCAACGATTTCGATGCAATGATGCAAATACGACTGCCAAAATCCAGCCATTAGACCAAGGAATAGTTAGAACTTTCAAAGCATATTATAGAAAAACAATTAGTGCAACATCTAATCACAAATGCAGATTGAGCTAATTACGCTGACGATATACGTAAGTATAACTGCACTAGATGCGATGTGGTGGATTGATGTTGCATGGAAGGCGGTAACTGAATCAACAATTCAAAATACCTTCAAAGCAGCTGGCTTTCCAACTTCTAGTTCGTCTTTCTGTACATTATCGACAACGACAACGAACAGTAAAGATGTTGCATCAGGTGATAGAAGCTTGATTGAACTCAACAAAATCCTAAGACATGTTAATGTTGGGATCGATACGATGTGTGCAGCAGATTTTGTGGTAACTTTTCGTAGAATCACTTCGTATATAACTATGATAACATTTGACATTTTGGTTTTTAAATCTCCTAGAGTATTGATGATGACACACCAGCTTTTAATGTTTGGAGTGATGGTGCTGAGAAAGTGTTAGTTTCTGATGGGCTTTCAAATGAAGATGTAGATCCAGATGAAGTTAATGTTGTTGAAGAACCACCGCCATTGACTGAAGCTGTTCAAATGGTGCGTCGTTTACGCCTATTCACTACAACTAATCACCCTGAACTGCATCCTTTCATTCTTCAATTTCAATCGAAACTAATCAAAATTTGTCTTGATGGAAAAATTTTAAACAAAAAACTATTCGTGGGAATTTCGAGCAGGTTTGAAGAAAACCTTCATTTCTTACTTAAATCAGTTGTATAAACAAAGTACTTTGTAATAAACAATGATTATTCATTGAATAAAACGATAAAATGATGACCAATGAGCTCAGAAAATAATAAAAGAATTATGTTTAGATTTGCTTTCCTCGAACACTCTCCTTTATGATCATCCCGCCATTATGAACATTTTTCTATGAACCAGCAGTGTTCAGATAAGAGAAGTTCTACTGTAATTGAAACTATAACCTCCATGTACATTTCTCCTTTGCGTAGTTTCTTTTGTCACGATAAACAACATAATAAAAAACTTCACTTCATCATTCTTCGCTACACTACGATAAAAACGACTCAGAAAACTACCTCCCGTCGAACTCCATTCAGATCATGAGCTCTATCATAAGCTACCCGATGAACGTCCCTTGAGAAAGGACGAAACTATAGTCGTAGAATTCTCTATCTATATTACACCTATACCCACATTCCACCCTCGAAACTTCATATATATCCTTTCAATGTAAAAAAGAAGAGAGAAGCGCTATAAACTATACATTACTCCATTTGTTCGGAAAGAGCTTCTGCAGCTGCTGAGCTTTTCCCAAAATCTCTTTTTGTTTCGAAAATAAGATCACACACTTCCGCATTTCATTATTTATCAGGCATAGATGCGAGAGACGTCTGTCATTATTTTCGCAAGCGTAGATAGGAGCATAATGTGACGATTTCTGATGGAAGAGATGTGTATCCCGATAGAATCATGTCTTCCTTTATTTCTTCCTATCATCAATCGCATCGTTCTAATACAGAACACACGTTTATAGACCGTTCTCTCGATAGAAAGCAAGGAAGAATAATGCCAAAGTACACAAAATGCACCGAAGTAGGGACAAATAGCATGCGTACAGCGCATGCGAAGAAGATCGTCACACATAGTATAAGACGGATTTGTGATGGATAAAAACAAAGGTCGAATGTACCTACATTTGATGTGAGTACGGTTGAACTGTCACCGATTCATGACAAAGTCGAAGGGAGAGAAACTTTTCATTGAGTGCTTCAAAATAAAATTTCAATTTGCGTATTTAATACGTTTTGTCTTGAATGCATTCATTAAGTATGTTTGAAAATAAAGTTTTGTTTGTTAGGAACGAACGACGCTCTCTTTAAATTTCTTAAGGCAAAATAAGCTCTTTTAATCTTTTGTAAAAGAAATTCTTGGCATTCGCGCAAAATAATCATTCACTGTGCATATGGAGTCGCCTTCTCTTTCTTCCATAAACTTCGCACCATAGTCCGTTGAAGATTCTTTGTTTTAATTACTAAAGGGCGTAAGTCTCCGCGAAAAGTCTTTTATTTTTCAATGCTTCTTTTGAGCTAGCGATGCAGGTATAAATATAAACGTTTCTTCTCCATTTAGTCATTCATTTTCTCCTTTTGCGTTTTCGCTATTCGATGGATAAGATGAGAATAAAGCGAACTTTCAATCTTTCCTTTCTGGTTTTATTACTGTTCCATGATGTGATCGATGGATACCATTTTCGTGGCGGTATTATTTCATGGTGAGTATCTTCGGTTCACTTATATTTTCCCCACTGTCAATTGATCCTTAGGCGCCCCTTAAATGCTACTGCATCCGGTACTACTGCTGACATCCTCATACATCAACGATATTTTTGGTGGCGACAATGGGGCGGTTTCGGTGGTTATCGATGTACAGAAGCAGATGTTAATAGTGGAACCCTTATTCCAGTTAATGAAGCCATGAGATGTTTAGTGAACTGTTCCAGTTCGAATTATCCCGGCGGTGGCCTTTCAACTAGGATGATTACTACAGATTGTCAACAAAGTTCAAAAATTGATTCATGGGCCGGTGAAAAGTATGATACATTGTCATTGCTTTTAACAACATCAATTACAATTGGTTACCAGTCCAGTGCATGGATGTCTGCTCTTTTTAAAGGCGGCGTCGGAGATTGGTCTATTGTTAACCGGCTGAATTTGGGCTTAAGACCTGATGGTTATATCAACAGTAGTCCTGTCACAAATACACTACCTGTAATAATCTATCAAATAAATATACCAATCGTTCATATTGTGCAAATGGCAGACAATGATGGCACTGATATATTGGTATGCCGTTGGTCGAATGCAAATGATACGAACAACTACAATAGAATCGACGAATGTGCTGGTATTTGCTATGGATTACCTCCTGGATATGGATTAACTGGTACCAATTGCACAATAACCTTCACTTTACCAACTAATAACCTTTACTACGCAGTTGCTCTGCAAATTGAAGATTTCTACAATTCTTTGTCAAGAAATCCAATGAGTTCTGTTCCAATACAATTCTTATTTTATGGAGACATACTTTCCAGTAGCTGTAAACGTCCTTCAATCATCGGTGTTCGTCCTAACAGAGGTATGAACAAAACTATTCTTATTTGAAGTAAACTCACTCATATTTTATTGTACTTGTTTTAGCTTGTATTGGAGTTCCTTACGGTAATTACAGTCGATAGTTACATTTTCCTATTTCAACGGTTTTGAATTTTTATTCCAGATGTTCAATTGAATGAGACTGTCATTGTACAAACGTATTGTCCTAGTCAAACAATCGTTGACTTCATCACTGCTTCACCATATGGAATGACACATAGTGGCATCAGCAATCCGAGTGCTTGTGAGTAATCGCTTTTGACTCGTTAGAGTGAGACAAAGTTTGGATTTGAACAGATACATGGGTTATGACATTGACATGGAAACCTGTTGCACTTCAGGCCGGTCCTCAAAGTTTTTGTGCTGCTGCTCTCGATAATAATAATCTACAATCTGATCCATGGTGTATTACATATCTAGTTGGTTACGATTCGCCAGAAATACGTCGTCCTGAAGTTGTTCAAGGAACAGCAAGTCCAGTCGGCACCGTCTTCCAAAATCATTCCATGTTTTTTATACAAGGTAGAAACTTTCAGTGAATATAGTACAGATACATTCGACATTTCCTTTCCTTTTATTTTCATTGTGTAGCAAAAGGTGAAGTTGGTCGTCCAAATCGTAATGGGACAAACGTCTGTTTTCGTAATTCAGCCACAAACATATCAGTTGTCTGTTACGATGCTGGATATGCACCCAATGTAGTTTATACCGGAAATACAATTGTTATTATCACAAATGTTACATGGACACCTGGACAGTTTTACTATATCACAATGGACAGTGGATTTGCTAGTGGAAGTGTTTTCTGTCGTAAGTTTCTTTTATCGTATTATTCTCTTTGTGTAATGAATGTGTCACATGAAAGATGCTGAATCAGCACCCATCACTGATCCTACATTTTGGCGATACAATATCTGGGATCCGGCTGTTTCAAGTACGACAACAACAACAACAACACCATTTACAACTGCAACAGTCACCACAAAGCCAACATCGACAACAAGTATTAATACTCTTGTAAGTTCTCTTATATTTTATTCTACGCGAATATAAATCTATCTATCGACAGTTGACAACAACTGGTATTGTAGTAACAACAACAACTCCTCCTACAACAACTACAGCAGCACTCACAACTACTTCATCTTCGACTAGTGAGGACAATTTTTTTACCATCACCATTATGATCATATGTTCATGTTATTTCTCTTTCGCAGCTGCTACAACAGTTTCAACTACTTCAGTTACAACAAGTGACGCTGTTGTTGTTATCAATCCACAAGATCTGGTATGATTTGTCAGATAAATATTGTCAACTATCTAAGGACGTATTTTATGTGTGCAATAGGAACAATTATGTCATCATCCGATATTAATTATGGATATTGCCATGATGGTTGTATTACTACCCATACATGCAGTGGTAATGTACGCCGGTTTTACGAAAGTCTCAAATATATTCAATCCTGTGCATAAAAAAGCAAGAGAGAGACATAATCTTCGAATGAGAAGAATCCTCTCACGTTAAAAACAGTTTCTTTTTCCTTATCTTACCTAATTTTCAATTTTTTTCTACTTCAACTAGCAGGATTTCATTCTTGAATGCTTCCATTTAATCACCAATAAAAATAATCAAGACTTTTTATCAAACAAAGAAAAAGAAATTGTTGAACTCACCACAGTAGTTCGAGTAGAAAATAATTGTCATAACCAGCTGTAACAATCGCATGTTATATCTCGAAATCATCATTTAGTGGTTGATATTTATCTTTTCCAAAGACTTCCCATATCAAAGCTGTACGACAAGAACCGGCGGGATCAATGACTTTCCAATGATTTCCTGCGATGGGAATCTGACTTCGTATCCGGCTATCCGCTTCCGATACTCTTCCAGTTGGTTCCTTGGCACGGATTATATTTTCAGATTCGAAATCGTTTAATACGATTTTCTCCACTAATCAGTATTTAAATGCACAGAAATTTTACAACTTTATGATACGTAATCAATAGAGAGGTGATAGAAGTCTACCATTGATTGAGATGAAAATATTTGTTTGCATCTAATTACTCGGCAGACCGATACAAATGTTCTGAATTTTTTACTTTGTCAGTGATTTTTTACTTAAGATTCAATGATTCCCAACGGAAATTATGCAAGTTTCTCTTAAATACTGTTGAAAAATATTTGAAATCCACTTCTCAGTTGTAAAAATACAGTAGCGTATGAAAGAAAATATTCGATTTTGGTTATACTGTGAATCGGTTACTATTCAAAAAGTTGTCAAACGGTTAGTATACCCTTTCAAAATCTTACATGTATACATGTATTTTAAATCACCTGCGCAAATACCCATCTACGTTGGTAGCGTAGAATAAAGTAGTAATCTAATAAATAACTATCATAGCGCTATAGGTGATATATCATGTTTATTATCGATGAATGTTTTTTATTAATTCTGAGCTCCGATGAAGTGTTTAGTGGAGTAGATACGTGGGGTGCATAAATGCAATATTGAGTTTAACTTAATCGCAACTATTGTGCAAAGATTACGTTATTAGATCCAATACCATCCTGCATACCGGTATTATTTATCTACAATGAGTACCAAGTTGCAATGTCACAACTTACTCACGTATACCTTTTCAATCATTCTTCTAATTGCCATCCACTCGCCAACGTAAGAGAAGGCGTGAAAATCAGATTTCACACGCGAAACCTAATGAAAAATCAACTTTTTAATCGATTAAATCCTGTTATGAAACTGATAAAAAATTAATTCGTTTAAAGATATTGTTTAATTTTCAACAGTACCTGTCTTCCATCAAAAATAATCAGTTCAAGTAGATACTACAACAGGATTCGGCCGATTTCAGTTGATTATTTTTACCCTAATCGATTTCCAAGCTGTTTAGATCAAGAAATTTAATTCCCACTTCCATTCGTCAACGACGAGTATAGCCAGAGTACTTTTAGGATTTTTCCTAATAATTACTGAAATCTGAAAAAAACCATCATAGGATGCTTTGTGCTCGATTTCGAGTAGTAGTTAAATAAATTTAGAGATTAGGATGTATTTGATTTTGGAAAGTGGATAGATTCCGTTCGTTCATGATGACATTTCCAGTCGTTTTCCGAAGAATCTTATCATATTTCATTTAATTTTCTGGCGGATCTGGTGTATTTTCCCTGTGGCGGAAAACAAGCCCGCATGGGGTGAAGGTGGATTCCTTAAATTTCATCTAGCATCTTGGGATGATGAGAATTGACTCGCTGCTAAAACCCTAAAACAACATGTGAACGATCAAAAGTTTGCATATTTAGAACGGCATTTCCATCGAACTGTGACCAATCTTAACATACCACATATGGTTCATTTGAAATATTTGTACATCGACAACGATTCCTTGAATATACTCATGCCTCGCTATTCGACTAGTCTGAGATCATTCCTCGAAAAAAAAAACTTGAGAGGTATCAATGCTGATAAAGCTATAGAGATTTCACGTAACACTGCAAGCGTTATTGCGTATATGCATACTTACGATCTTGTTCATCGTGATATTGAAGTTGAAAATATTCTTATTGATGAATATGACCTAGTTTATTTAGCTGATTTTGGTACGTGCTAACATGAAACTGAAAACCACATTATTATCGGGAGTGCTCCGTTACCACCAGATATTACTGTTTTAATGTCATCAACAGCCTCTAATTCGAGTAGTGATCGTCTTCAATCTTATAAAGATTCAGCAATTGATGTTTATTTACTCGGTGTACTTATGTTTGTAGGTGTGCCTAAAGAGAACTATATACCAGCATCAAACTTAAACGTTGAATAAGTACAACTATTAGACTGACAAAAAGCTCCTGAAAACTATTGTCAATTAATCTTACGTTGCTTGGATAAATATTATAGACAATACTACTTCGTATTTTCACCCAGTTTTACTTTATGATCAGACCGTATTTTTGAATATATCCTAACAAAACTTGTCTCACATCGCCTACTACATAACTGCATTGGATTAAATGAGAACATGAAGCAGTATTGCCTACCAGAAACCATTCCTATGAATCCGAAAAGACTTGAAGATGTTATAGGAAGATTCGCCATCGTTCTGTACATAGTCTTAAGTACGTCTAAACATTTGATAGTATGCCTGAACTCGTTATAAAACCTTTAGAAGAACTGTAAAAAAGAAAATTATACTGTCATACATAATTAATAATGCAATTTTCAATAAAATGACAGTACAAGAATAGGAAGAACTGAATTTTTCAAGTAAAGATTTTCTGAGAATGTTAAACGATCTTCAATCAATTTGAATTAATCTTGTATAGTCAGTTACAGATTTATAATACATTGTGATTAATTTAATATAATAATTTTTATGAATATAGCTCATACATCAGACTGCCACAGACTAAAATAAATAAAATTTCATTTGTAAAAAAAAATACTATGTTATATACCTGAATGTCAAACTGTGTTTTTTTTTTGTTGAAGCCAATATTCCGATAGATCGAATATATTATGAAGATCATTATCATCTAACCATTGCGTAAATCTAACTAATCGAATTTTGGAATAAATAAGGTAAAGTAAATGTTGTTCAATAAGATTTTGCCAACTAATAATATCGAGCATTCTCTCATTTCTATATTTAATCCAAAAACGAAGTATGAAATGTGTCGCATAGAATCCTATAGGCAAAAAACTGATAAAGATTTTCAAATGAATTCCGATTTTTTATTTCTAATTCAAAATGGTGGAGTTTTTGAAGATTAAAATCGCATATACAGTCATTCACCTCCCAAGAATTAATATAACCGATGAAAGAGTAAATATTAGGTGTACGACATAGAATTTCTAACAGTTCTTTAACACATATATATTTAAGATAAACACATTGCGATCTCGGCATATCGAAGACCGGTAGATTAGTATACCATTGATTAATTCGATGAAAAAGACACGTAAATCGACCATGAGAAATAATTTGGATTCGTTCATCTATCTATGATCAATTGATACTTGCTGGATAAGATCAAGTAACATTTTTTATACGTTGTTGAAGATTGAAAATTTATATAATTTAAAGGTATCATGTAATATTGAAGATCTACAACATGAATGGAATCAATATTATTTAAAATTATTTTATTGTACATATTACAATCCACTTGAAGAAGTTTTGAGGGACATGCGACCACAATATTCCGATGCTTTATGTAATCTAGGTTCCTTAAGATTTTTGAAAAGTGCTGGGACTGATTGGTCCTGTAGCGAATATTCCAACTGGTAAAGTTGAAACCGATCATAACAGCTTGTCGCATCCTCGAGATTTATATATTCATTACGTAAGAGAGATACAGTATTAAATAAGATTAGACATCATAATTGAAATTTTTTATAGTTTTAATAGCCCATCCTGCTCATACACCGAATAGAAGGAAAGAAAAGAACAAAAACCATACGTACTGCACGTGCTAGTGGGAACGTGATAACAAACGTATACGAATATACACACAGAAAAGAGAAATCATGACTAGGCAAAATATAAGTGAGAGAGAATAATATTTTCTTTTTGTATTTTGCCTTGTCATGGTTCATGTTTCCTATGCATATATATGTATAAAAACAAATATATTTAAAACATGCGCTCGCTCATTTTTTTTTTCCTAATCACCATTGAAGATGACAACAAAGCCTCTTCAAGTCGGCATTCTCTTATTTAAATCATATCAGCTTTTGGATGCTACAGGACCCCTTGATTTGTTAACTATGTTAACTCCTGAATACATTCAAAAAGCCGGAGCTCCGCCATCACTTGCATCAAAAGCAGTACCAATGAATTTTCATTATATTTCTGATTCTCTCGATCCAGTTGCTCCTGCTGCAGGACCTTTACAATTACCAACATGCACTTATACAACATGTCCATCTCTCGATCTTTTCCTTCTACCAGGTCCACCACCTGATGTTGAATTTGCACCAGAATTAATTCAGTTTATTCAAAAACATGTTCAAGAAGCAGATATTGTAATGAGTATCTGCACTGGTTCAATCGTTCTCGCTGCTGCTGGTGTTCTCAATGGTAAAAAAGCTTCAACAAATAAGAATGTTCATAAATTTGCTATTCAAAATTTTCCTCAAACTCAATGGACAGAAAAAGGACGATGGATTGTCTGTGATAAATTTTGGACGAGCAGTGGTGTTACTGCAGGGATGGATATGATGGCTGCCTTTTTGATGTCACGTTATGACCAAGAATTAGTCAAATGGACATACCAATTGTCTGAATTTGTTCCTAAACAACAAGATGACGATCCATTTACGTGGATTTTAGAGGAGGCTAAAAATCATAATAAACTTGAATTTCACTTCACTTATCAACTTCACCATCACTTTAAACGAATATCAAACAAGGGTGAGGGTGAGGGTTCTCTCACCCTCACCTCTCACCCACATCCTCAAGAAATTGATCGAAATTTTTTCCAAAAAAAGCTATCTATAATTCTTTCTTGAGTTTCTACGGTAACTTTGTAGTAGAGGCTATAGTTATTTAGTTACAAGTTTATCATACAGGAGATCTTTGCCAAAGAAACTAGAATGATGATGGATGAATGAATAGCTATATTAGAATGCTTCTAAATCCCTTAGTAAATTATCAAGTTGAACAATTCAATATCAACTGTTCTCAAATCCTAATGAATATGACTATAACCATCACCATCGTGCGCAACTACAATGAAACTTATGCCCAACAATATCAAACATACTGGAATTCTTCTACCGACATGACCCATGTGCAGAAACCGTTCAATTTAACCTATCACTGGTTTTCTATATCAAATATGTATATTACGCGAGAGACTTTTCCAAATTTTATCGAAGCACAATTTTATTATTCATCGAACTCGATACGTGTGACCAACAATGGCACATGGGAAATGTCAGCCCAAACCATCTCTGGAGAACTGTTACATTTTCGAGGAACTTTCTAAAAGATTTATTTTCGAACTTGAGCTAAACATCTACTCGTTTTGAATTTTCATCTCCATAAACAAACATAAGTTGAACTAATATTGATAGAAGCTGATGAAGGCAAGGACTCTTCCAGCCATTGATAAAGTTTCTCTTCGCCTATTGATGACGATCTCATCTGTCCCTCTCTGACGCCGATGAATGCTCGAAGATTGGTCATGTTTTCAGTAAGATTAAGAATTTCATCTTTTCTTCTGATATTAATCAAAAGAACTTGGCATTGTCGTCCAATGGGTGAATTGATCAATGATTCATAATCGAATAAGGAAATATTTCGATTTGATAGATGAACAACTTTTGTCAAATCCAGTCGATGAATCGATTCACTTTGGAATTGAAAAAATGCATTTTCCAAAGGAAATTTCGATTGAATAGACAACGAATAAAGATTTGGTGATTTGTCTAATATCGATTGCAAAAGAATAGAATTGACTTTGTTCTGAAATATTACATGAAGTGATTTTAACGTATTCCACGTTGGAATAAACGACCAGATATGTTCCTTAAACGGACATTCAACTGTTAATTGTTGGATTTTCGAAAAACAAACTTGAGAATTATTCGGAAGAGAAAATAATCCATTGATTGAATCATTGTATGTCAATATCTTCACCTGATCATATGAATAAAACGCGTTTCGATTAAAACAAGTCGACTTCGATTTTTCATACGCGATGAATTTTTCAAAACTGTGAGGTAAACTATAAAAAGTTGTTTGAATCTGATCAGAAGATTGTGTCCAATTACATCGAACAAACCATTGACGTTCTTCGATCCAAAACGGACTGCGAAAAGTATTTAACAACTCATCAATTCTTTGTTCGACATCAACACCATCAACACGTACAAGCAAAGCATTCATTTGGAATTGAAATCTTTCTAAATTGAGTAACGAATGACGAATTAAATCTTCCCATGTATATCCATCTATAAACGTTCCCTCTGTTTCGACAGATAAGTCAGTTAGAGTTGGAAATGCTTTCAAGAAGTTGATTAATCCATATCGAATACCTTTGTGAACAAGTTTTAATGAGATTATCAAGGAAAATAGCTCCGTTGTTCGTAAATACGAATGACTACTTTCCATAGTCATACAAATGTGTTGAAGTTTAACTGTGTGATGAACTAAATTGATAAACCCATCGAAATCAAGTTGAACAACATCGCCAAAAAGTAAACTTTCAATTGATGATGAAACGTTCTTTATATATTTGAACATCTTTCCAAAATGCAAACAGTCTTTTAGATGAAAATTTTTCAAATCTGGAAGATTCCAAACAGATTCCAAGATTGATAAGACTTGTTCTTCTTCGTGAAGTTTTTTGCAATTGGAGATTTGAAGGTTCGAAAGAGATTGACATTGTGATAGAAGTGATTGGAGACTTGTAAAGGAATTTATTGAATCCAATGTCAAGGATTTCAATCGAGAAAAATCAGTCAATGCGAAATCGTTTTGCAGAAAGAGTTCAGGAAGACTCGGTGTTTCTTCATTACCGGATAGTATCAGAGAAGCAATTTTATCGTGGATGGACGCGAAATAAGTGCAAATTGTAAAGAAGACTTGTTTTCTTATCGATCGAAGATCGATTTCACAATCTTTTAAATTCTTTGAGATAAGTTGATCAATGCGAGTATTTAAACCATAGAATATTTGAAATAAATCAATTGGGTAAAGATATTCAAAAATAGAAATCATTAATTCATTGGGCAAATCTTCGAACTTCATCGTTCGCATATCGTCGAAAGTGGATTAGCGAAAAATCGTGCATTTTGTTACTAAATAAATATCTCGTTTTCTCGCACACACACAATACGATTGGCTGAAAATAAAGCGCAATGAGACTGACTGGCATTATAAAGAAATGCTTTTCGATAGAGTTCGTTTTTCCCTCGTTTCTTACCCAGGGAAAGGTAATTCATTGAAATAGCAATGAAAATTGACCGATAATATTTAAAAAAAAACGTCAAAATTCGACATGAGCTTAAATAATAGACTTGAGGCTCATTTCTCCCTGCAGAATTGATTAACATAGAAGTTATCAAAGAGAAACTCACTGCTTATGAAGATATTAACGAAAAACATCGACTCTTCGACGAGTGTTACATTGTCTTACTATCAGTTTTTGCTTCATTGACCAAGACAATTAATAATAATCGAAAAATGAATAAAGAATAATTTCAAATTTACGAACATTTAGTTTAGAAGACAAGAATACAGTCGAGAATTTACATGAGAGGACGAAAAGAAAAAGGACATTCTGGACTGTGACCGTTCAAGATCATGTCAACATTTCTAAAATTACTGGTGGAACTTGTTTACCGAATTTTAGATCATGAAAGTGGTTATACATTATTTTGCTCAATGCAAAATGTCTGTCAATGATTCAATCAAATTCTCAATACCTATAATCGATTTCAGATGATTCTGAAGATCTATGACAACTTACACTATAGTATAAAGAATATGCTAGTAACCACCGAGCCAAACTATCGAAAAGCATCTTACTTCTCTATCTTTGATTTGAGTAAAACCGACCATTCATGAAGTTCTTTAACGAATCTTCGAGAGACAACATTAGTTTGTCTTAGGAGATCAAGGGGCAATCACATCTCTTTGTGCATGAATCTTTGTTGTGCGTTGTTCATCAACTATAGTTTAAATTCAGAATCTACACGACACTTTTTCGATACGAAACTAATCAAGATCAGCTGTTGAACTGCGACAGTTTAGAGGAAGATTATTTATAGTGACCACCAACCACTGGTCAACAGAACATATGAAAACAACAGTCTTCTCTTTGACTCACTACCATACCGAAGATAAACGTACTTTCATCTACAGGTGTTACTAAACTGAGGGACAATCATATCTCCGTCTCGCACCAGCTCTTTCCATGTTTCATTTACCTTCTAGAAAGTCACCATATTGCACTTGTCGTCAAATCAAGTTTAAATCATCGGATCGCAACATATTGCCCAAGCTTTGCGAGCAAGCCGAGTGTAGGGTGCATGTGTCTTGCATACAATTTGCAAATCGTATGATTCTCGTGTTTGCAGACCCTCGTTACACTGCAGTTGAGATCCAATGGAATTGGTGATGCGTTGCGAGCGAAAGTGGTAAAATATTTTTTCTGCATACACTTCATATATCCACGTGCTCTTTCGTACGTAGACTCTCACTGCGCTGGATCTGATGTGCAATCATATCCGATACACTTCGAATAAATACGGTAAGCTATTACTAGTTGTGGCGTATCCTCAGTCTTCATGTGTTGTATGCTGCATATAGTCTCTCACTACACTGGACCTCACATGGAATGAAATCGGAGATGTTGGGGCACTACATCTTGCTAGTGCGTTATAAACAAATCAAGTAGGAAGCTGTAAGTGTGAGTGAAGTTTTAGAAAAGGTTTGTGAATTCCGTTTATTAGGTAAATAACGAGAGAAGAGAGAACAAAGATAGGTGGCGCGCAGTGTACGAAAGTACGAAGATATATATATATATATGAACCGCGAGAACGAAATACACATATGTATATATATATAGGCATGTGTATGGGAGAATTCCTTCATATATGTGACGGCATGAATAGGAATAACTCCAAAACACATGTATCGGAATTGTCCATACTAACAGAAGCATTCTCTTGCTGCACACTTGACCCATTCATGTGTTCTGTCACATGTAAACCCTCACAACACTCAATCTATGGAGAAATCCAATTAGGCCTGTTGCCACACAGCATTTTGCGGACATACCGAGAATTAATTGGGTAAAACACACTTTTTCCCTACACTTCATCTAATTGAAGATGAGAAGGATGAGGGTGGTTCTGGGTCAGGGTCTGATATTTTTATCTTTTTACCTCCACGCACATTCTCACCTTGAAATTGTTCCTCCGTGAAGAAACCGATAGGATTAAAAAATTCAAAGATAATATTTTTCTTTGTCGCGTTTATCAATCTTTCTAGTAGTATACATGAGAAATATTTGCAGCTGTTTGCAGCCGCCAAACGTATTTATAAAGAAAACCATGAGATAATAACACAAAACAAAGAAAGATGTTAATACTAGCGGCTTTATTATCAATGTATGTTTATGAATTAAATGGATTGATCCCTTATGATGGAATAATTCATCGATCTAGTGATGGAAGCTCTTATGCATTTTTATCTTCACCTAAAATGAGTAATCATGCATCATTCGTTGAAGAAATGAGTCCAAGTGGTACATT